TTCACTTTATTCAGACATGTTTAGTCCGGTAATTTACCAAGGTTTTGTTTCTAATTGGTTTAAAATATGCCAAGGTACGCGTCAAGGGAGCATCATTTCTTCGTGGCTGTATACAGTATTCATCAATGACCTTTTAAATGAATTTTGTGCTTCTAAACATTCTTTATCAATTTATGGTGTAAATGTTACATGTCCAACTCAAGCAGACGACATTACGCTGCTGTCTCTTTGTAAACGCGGTTTAGACAATCTCATGGACATCTGCTACGACTACAGTTGCAAATGGCGATTTAGTTACAATGCGTCAAAATCCACAGTGATTGTTTTTAACGAAAGCAAGAATTGTCTTTTCAAAAATTACTAGAAATTGGAATCTTGGCTCAGATTCCGTGTCTGAATCTACTAATTGTAAGCATGTTGGAATTTTTATGAACAAGTACAAACCTGGTTGTCCAGATGTCGACGAGATTGTCCACAAATTGCGTGGGCAGTGTTTTGCCTTACTCCACTGTAATTTATTTGGTACGGGCATCAACCCTTTAACAGCTGCAAAGTTATATAATTCAGTTGTAATGCCGAGCAGTATCTTTGGATGTGATATGTGGTTTTCACTTTCTGAATCTGAATGGACTCGTCTCGAAACAGTTCACCATTTTTGTGCTAAGCTTATGCAAGGTTTTTCACGGCGCACCAGGTCCGACATTGCCCTTAGTATGTTAGGACTTCCATCTTTGCGACTGTATATTGAGTCAAAACTTCGATTTTTTGCTGCCTTTTGTAGAACTGATACACGTTTAGCCGATAAGAAATTGTTCTTACCGAGACTTTTCCAAATATTTTTTGGTTTACCCGGTAAAGGAAATGACATTATTCTAGATATATGGAATTTATTTCACAAGTATGATTTGCAGGACGTTCTGTACCATTTTTTACAATCAGGCGTTTTCCCGTCAAAGCACCGCTGGAAATACCTTACAAAAGGCTACTTGAATAGTATATATTCTTCTGAGTGGAGTGAACGCCTTAATGGCTGTGAGGATTTTAGTAGATTTAAACATTTACAGCGAGAGATAAGCCCATCTCCACTTTGGTACCTCTCAAAATGTTTCCCACAGTTAAACAAAACATGTAAAACAGTTGCAAAGCTATGGAGCATTCCGCCTTATTGCGAATTATCATGTGCTCAGTGTCAGCTCTTAGTTGAGGATGCAGTTGGTCATTGTATTTTAGACTGTTCCAGTGTCACGCTTTTAAATCTTCGTGACCTCTTTTTAACTAAAATAATTAATGAATATCCGGTTAATGTTTAATGTCTATCCGGTTAATGTTTATGCAACACTTGTGAACTCGTGTAGAGATATTCAAATTGCTACTATCTTAGGTAGCCCTCCCGTCGTTATTTCTGATTTATTCCAGGAGAATGATTTGCTCTTGGCTACATTTTCAAAAGACTGTTGCATTTTTGCCGAAAAGGCATGCCTTCTTACATTTTGTTAAGATAAACCTCAAATTCCTCTACCTTGTAGCAATTTGAGTCCTTCTCCTGGTTTTCTCGTTTTCCTTATCTTATATCTGTCTCTAAATATGTATTTGTCTTATATTTTATATCTATATTTTTCTTTTTTGTTTCATTGAAAATTAACTATGTTATTTCCATGATTATGTAATATTTCATACAATGTCTGTAACTCTTCTTTTATGAAGGAATAAAGATATGAATGAATGAATGGTCTTTTGTCTTCCGTAAAACATAAGCAACCCTTTTGCACGACCATGTTTTCTGCAGTGAAATTGAAGTTACCCAATGGCACGGACTTTTATCTGCTGTAAAACACAGGTTACACTTTGACACTGTCGTTTCGCTGCAGTAAAACATAGGTTACTCTTTGGCACGGAATTTTCTCTGCAGTGAAACGTAAGTTAAGCTTTGGCACGGTCTTTTCTCTGCAGTAAAGCATAAGTTATCCTTTGGTACGGTCTTTTTCCTTTCTGGATCATGGGTTTTGAGCTAAATGTAATGAAAATATCCTGGTCACGATACCTCCCTTTGACGGCACTTCAATACGCCTTTTGAGAGACCCACCACCAACATCTACAGTATTATAATATAAGTCAAACAACGATACTGCTCTCTAGATTAGAAATGCTTTCATCCCAAAATAAAGAAACCAAGGCATACTTCAACATTCAACATTTTATCAAGTAAGTACATAGATAAAAATATCACTTTTCATGTTGGCGGTTGTCTTCTATATTAACTTGCATACACACAGTTGGTCATAAGAATTCAACAAGGAAATTGTTCTGAAAAATACAAACACGTCACCGAACACTTTTGACGTCTTTTTTCCCATGAAAATGAAACACGTTCATCGAAACAAAGAAGGGATAAAACGTGCTGGTCCTGAAATATGAGACAGACTCTCAGTACAAATCATTTCAGATCTTGACATTAATCTGATAAATAACCAAAGTATGCTCCTTGAACGAAGACATCTTTCCTTTGTATTGCAGATCAGAAATGCATCATATTTCTACTTACGCTGTTTCAAGTCGGTACTTGTTCAACAGGAAGCCTGTGTTTACTGAACTCCTTATGATTTATTAACAACTGTTTAATAATATGCACCCGTGTTACTAAAACAAATTTCATGTTTTCAAAATTGATCATTTAAAATCAAGGAATGAGGAATATAGTAACATCACATCATCCTTACACGTACTGCTTCAACAGTGGTATGACATCACATCATCCTTAAACAGTGGTATAACACCACATCATCCTCACATGAACTACTTCAACAGTGGTATAACACCACATCATCCTTAAACAGTGGTATAACACCACATCATCCTTACATGTACTGCTTAAACAGTGGTATAACTTCACATCATTCTTAAACAGTGGTATAACACCACATCATCCATACATGTACTGCTTCAACAGTGGTATAACACCACATCATCCTTACATGTACTGCTTAAACAGTGGTATAACACCACATCATCCTTCAACAGTGGTATAACACAACATCATCCTTAAACAGTGGTATAACACCACATCATCCTTCAACAGTGGTATAACACAACATCATCCTTAAACAGTGGTATAACACCACATCATCCTTCAACAGTGGTATAACACAACATCATCCTTAAACAGTGGTATAACACCACATCATCCTTCAACAGTGGTATAACACAAAATCATCCTTAAACAGTGGTATAACACCACATCATCCTTCAACAGTGGTATAACACAACATCATCCTTAAACAGTGGTATAACACCACATCATCCTTACATGTACTGCTTAAACAGTGGTATAACATCACATCATTCTTAAACAGTGGTATAACACCACATCATCCATACATGTACTGCTTCAACAGTGGTATAACACCACATCATCCTTACATGTACTGCTTAAACAGTGGTATAACACCACATCATCCTTCAACAGTGGTATAACACCACATCATCCTTAAACAGTGGTATAACACCACATCATCCTTCAACAGTGGTATAACACAACATCATCCTTAAACAGTGGTATAACACCACATCATCCTTCAACAGTGGTATAACACCACATCATCCTTCAACAGTGGTATAACACAACATCATCCTTAAACAGTGGTATAACACCACATCATCCTTCAACAGTGGTATAACACAACATCATCCTTACACGTACTGCTTAAACAGTGGTATAACATCACATCATCCTTAAACAGTGGTATAACATCACATCATCCTTAAACAGTGGTATAACATCACATCATCCTTAAACAGTGGTATAACACCACATCATCCATACATGTACTGCTTAAACAGTGGTATAACACAACATGATCCTTACATGTACTGCTTAAACAGTGGTATAACACCACATCATCCTTCAACAGTGGTATAACACATCATCCTTAAACAGTGGTATAACACCACATCATCCTTCAACAGTGGTATAACACATCATCCTTAAACAGTGGTATAACACCACATCATCCTTCAACAGTGGTATAACACAACATCATCCTTAAACAGTGGTATAACACAACATCATCCTTAAACAGTGGTATAACACATCATCCTTAAACAGTGGTATAACACAACATCATCCTTAAACAGTGGTATAACACCACATCATCCTTCAACAGTGGTATAACACCACATCATCCTTCAACAGTGGTATAACACAACATCATCCTTAAACAGTGGTATAACACAACATCATCCTTAAACAGTGGTATAACACCACATCATCCTTAAACAGTGATATAACACCACATCATCCTTCAACAGTGGTATAACACATCATCCTTAAACAGTGAATTGTACAGTGACAGGTATTATACCAAATGTAACAGATCTTGAAAGTACTTGGTGCTGCAGATATTTCCATTACAAATAAAATGTCTACAGACATCGCAGTATATTTCAGCTTATGTCTGTAATTCATTGCGAGTTTTGTAAATTTCTGAAAAATATGCCTTAAAACTATACAATGTCATGTGAAGGGAAAAGTTCAAGATTGATCGTAAACATAGTACCCAGTTGTACATTGTTCTTACACATTTCAAATTTCATTGAAGAGGTCCTTAAAATACCATACTGAAGTTGCTCAACTTGCCTCTTTACACCCAACAGTGAAACGGAACAAGATAGTGATTTCTATTCTGTTGGCTGGAAACATTAGAATAGTTTGACAATAAAGTTAGGAAGAATGGTTAATGTTTTGTATTCTATTGAAAACATGTACACTTCTAACAGTCAGATCAAATAGTTTGGCAATCATTTGAGGAATGTTATTGCAAAATTAATTGTTTAATGTAGATTAACACTGCAATGTGTCAACTACCGGCATTATATTTGCGATACTGTACATTTACAAGTCCTGCAAGTCTAGTCATTTTTCAGTGATTGACTTAACCATTGATGAACATTTCTAGTACATCACATAACGTTAAAGAACAAAAATTCCAATGAAGTGGGAAAATGCCAGCTTTAATACAATGACATTTATCAAAGACAGTTATCATTCATATTCCAGCCCATAAAGAGTCAACCGGATTTACGTCTGAGATGGTACAACAACAACACGGCTTTGGGAAGTCGGTCGACTGTCCACCTCCTCCTCCTCCAGATCGTCTTTCGACTGATGTTTCTGCCGGGAGCGACGTCCCCTTCTGTAAAACACAAAAACATCCTCAAACATGGGAAGCATGTTAACTACAACATATTCGATGCCTTTTCTACCCCTATGTCAAGCACACCTGGCATAACAAAAGTATATTTCATGTTGCTGGCAAGTAATAAGACTGATCAAAATTACTTTATCCAGTAGACACCTTAACCATTTAAAATTTTTTGTCAAAAATGAAATGTAGCAAAATACATTGGAATAGCCTTTCAAGGACTATACTGAAATGTTTATCAGCATACTGAGGTTTAAAAGGCCTACCTGATGGGTGGATCGGGCAGTGGAGCTATGTCTGATGGCAATTCTTGTTCTCCGTCTGACATCACTTGGTGCTCTGCAAGAGAAATAACATCATTTATCAGAATACTAACACAGTTTGAACATTTAACAAAGTAGCCATATTAAATGACAATAGTTAAACAAAACATTACATATAAAAACTACATTAAATTGATAGCAATCAGTATACATTCAATAAATTTTTACATACCATCGACAGACATCATTGCTGTACCTCGCCCACTAGGGGCCGATACTGTGTAGGAAATATAGTCTTTTTCGGCTTGAGCCCCCTGTACATTTGGTGGCTGTCCTGACGTTTTCTTGGCAATATCAGGCTGACAAGTAAAATACACCCATGTTTTAGTATCATGATTATGGATATAAAATATTTGATATATTTGTAAGAAAACAACTGTTACATTAATGCTGTAAATTGTTTCTTCTATGAGTTCGTAAAAACTTTTTTGAATAATGCTCATTTCTTCAGCAAAAGCTAATCTTTCAATATCAGGTAAGCAGGTAGGTAGATAGTTTGTAGGTAGGTAGGTAGGTAGGTAGTTCGTTCGTTCGTAGGTAGGTGGGGAAGGGTAGGGTAGGGTAGGGAGGCAGGTAGGTAGGTAGGAAGAGAAGGGTAGGGTAGGGTAGGGAGGGAGAGAGGCAGGTAGGTTGGTAAGTAAGTAGGAGGTAGGCAGGTAGGTAGGAAGGGAAGGGAAGGGTAGGGTAGGGTAGGGAGGGAGGGGTAGGTAAGTAGGTATATAGGTAGGTAGAAAGGTAGGGAGGGAGGGAGGAAGGGGTAGGTAGGTAGGTATGTAGAAAGGTATGTATGTATGTATGTATGTATGTAGGAGGTAGGTACGTAGGAAGTGAAGGGTAGGGCAGGGAGGGAGGCAGGGGTAGGTAGGTAGGTAGAAAGGTAAGGGAGGGAGGGAGGCAGGGGTAGGTAGGTAGGTAGGTAGGTAGGCAGGTGGATGGGTAGGAGGTAGGTAGGTAGGTAGGAAGGTAGGTAGGTAGGTAGGTGGTTAGGGGTAGGTTGGTAGGTACGTAGGTAGGTAGGTAGAGGTAGGTTGGTAGGTTGGAGGTAGTCAGGTAGGTAGTAGGTATGTAGGTAGGAGGTCAGGTAGGTAGAAGGTAGGAGGTAGGTAGGTAGGTAGTAGGTAGGTAGGTAAGTAGGTAGGTAGGTAGGTAGGTAGGGGATTATAACAAAACACATCGCCAGTCAATGTTTACTTTACCCTCATTTTGAGAGAATTGCACTGAAAGATAATGCTTCCTGATGAGAATCATGTAAGAACTTTCTTGTGTGATTATGAACTTAATTTGAGGTTTTTTAATGTAAAACCAATTTTCATGATGTAATACTTACCATAACTTTAGTATGCAAATACAGTACCTACACCCATCTTTGTATCCCAACAACAAAAGATTCAAAAGAAAAAACAATCCCGCCCTCCCTACGATCCATGAGCCATCACGGCAGGAACGCAGAGTGATCTCCCTTCCTCTAATAACCTTTATGGCGTAAACCCCACAGAGGGGCAGCCAGGCAGATAAGGAAGAGGGGAGGATAGGGTGGGACTCCATAAAGTTATGGTAAGTATTACATCATGAAAATTGGTTTTACATTAAAAAACCTCAATTTCATTTCAGTAATAATTACCATAACTTTAGTATGCGAATTCGTCTTACCGTAGTGGTGACTAGAAGCCAGGCAGCCCCTTCAGCACAACCAAAGTAGTAGGGAGGGAGAACAGAGTGCTAAAGTGAAGGAAGGGACCTCTCTGTGAAAGAGCAGGTGTACCCACATGCCGCCGTACGGAAAGACATGGCCCGGGGCTAACGAGGAGGCCCAGCCACTGACTATGCCACCACCAAAGGTCCCAATGAATACAGGCCTTCTGAGTGGGAAGCTAGGGATCACAGATAAAAATCTGTGAAGGTATCCCTGCCCTGCCAGAATACTGCAGACATGACCTTCTGAAAGGAGGACTCATTGAGAGAAGGGCCCAGGATGAAGCAAGGGCCCTGACCTCGTGAGACCGCGCTTTCGCTCTCGCCCGAGCCAGATCATCAAAATGCTCGTAAGCATACTAAATCACCTGGCAAACCCACCTGGAAACCGACTGGGAGGAGATATCTCGTTGTCGTTTAATGGGCAAAACAGACGGGATCGAGAGCCCCGGCCCCCCCCTGGTTTTATCAAGATAAAACCTAAGAGCCCGACAAAGACAAAGCAACCTATCTCGCTCCTCCGAGCTAGTCACAGCCAGGATCCTGATGGGATCGTGCGAGAACCCCGGAACCTGATTCTTCGCTAAAAACAACTCTATTCATAGCAAAGCCTCTGTTTAGGGCAGAAAGAGAGGACTAACCGATCTCCTTCCTGCCATAACAAGCAAGAACTCTGGCAATAGCTGTACGATAGCCAGCAATAGTGCCAGGTGGCAGATAGCGGTACCTAAACAGAGAGATTAGGAAGTCCGCAATCAAATGCAGAGGCTTCGAATGAATAAGCTTCCTTGCCGACACACCAATCACAGAAGATCACCCAACGTGACTGGTAGACGGCAGAAGAGGAAGCCCTGATTGATTGCTCAATGCAATCTGACACCTCTTGAGAAAAGCCTGCCTTGGCGTGGCTTCCAGAGATAGCCTCAACGCGTGAAGGTGGAGGATCTCTGGTCAAGAGTGTGTCGTTCTGGGCCAAGGCTGGCGAAGGAGATTCGGTCTGGTGGGGAGAGCCAAGGGCTCCTCCACCAGAAACGACAAGAGCTCCTGAAACCAAGCTTGCCTCAGCCACAGAGGGGCTCTCAGAAGTAAGGAGCAGTGATGCTCCCAGAACTTCTGTAGAACCCTGCCCACCAGGTTGAAGGGAGGGAATGCATATGCATACGTCCCTTCCTATTCCAGAGAAAGGGCGTCCACAGCCCACGCCTTACGGTCTGGGACCGGGGAGACGAAGGTTAGCAGCTGGTTGTTCAGGGAAGTGGCAAACAGGTCTATAATAGGTCTGTCCCACGCCTGACAATTCCCCTTGAAAATCAAGGGACACAGCTGCCATTCCGTCAACACCGGCTGGTGGCGCCTGGAGAGTGGCCACCAACACACTCAGCCTGCCAGAAAGATGCTTGACCGCTATGGTCAACTGCATGTCCTGGCAGAGAAGAAGGATGTGGATGGAGAGGGCACACAGGACATGAGACCTGGTGGCCCCTGTCTCTCCAGATACGCGACAACTGTTGTCGGTAGCCAAACTTTGGACTGCAGGATACCCCTAAAGGACTGCAGAGCCAAATGAACAGTCTCATCTCGAGTACACTGATGTGCTCCCGAGAGCTGTTCGCCAGACCACTCCCCCGAGCGGCATTGGCCATCGAGGTAAGCTCACATTCCTGTCATGAACGCGTCCATGAACAGGATCATAGAGGGGAAAGGCTTGGTCAGAGGTACCCCGTGGAAAACGTTCTCCCGAATGGTCCACCAGCAAGAGAACTCCCTGACCGACTGGGTAAGCGGGATCCAGGCCTCCTGGATGACGGAACCCAGTCAGACAGGAGGAACATCTGGAGAGGTCCGATGTGAATCCTCCCTAGGGGGACCACATATGCCAAGGAGTTGAGATACCCCAGAAAACTGAGGAACCAATGTACCTGGACAAGCGACCAAGTGATGAAAGTCAGAGCCAGAGCCCTGACCTTCTCAAACTTCTCCAGAGGTGGAAGGGCTAAGCCCCGAACCATGTCAAAATGGTTCCCCAGGAAGAAGAAGTCCTAATATGAAGGAACCTCTGACTTCTCTCTGGAAGGAATGAAGCCGACTCTGAGCAAGAGTTTCAGGACCAGACGAGTGTCCTTCACTAACGATTCCCACACCAAAAGAGGCATGAGGGAGTCGTCGAAATAGATGTGGACGTCTATTCTGCGTGAGTGAAGGAAACACCAGCAGCAACTTGGTGAACACCAAAGGAGCTGTCGTGAGCCCCAAGGGCATCTCTGCCTTAGCAGCATGGTCCTACTTCCTCCTGGAGCACCCGTGCCCTTTCTGAATCCCCGGGAGGAGGAAAGAAACAAAAACGGCCAGGAGGCAAGGGACGAATCCTGAAGAAGGAGAATACCTAGACCCTCCCTGACCACCGACAAAAGCCCAAGCGTCATCTGTAATATCCTGCCACTGGGAAAGGAAAGCAGAGAGACGTCCGCCCACAGGGAGTTCCGGATGGGGCAGATTGAGCCCCTGCAAGACCAGAGAATCGTCTGCCCACCCGGAGCCTGAGCCTGCGGGAGAAGGACATGAGCCCGGGAAAGGAGAACCACCGTCCACCCAGCCATACCCTTCGCCAAGAAGCAGAAATAGTCAGGAACCCTTCTTCTTGCCCCCAGGAGGTTTCTTACCCTTCCTACCCTTCCCCTTGTTGCCGTTGAAGTGAGGTTTGGACTTGGGCTGTGCAGAAAACTGAGCAGCCGAAGACTTCGCCTTCTTCTTAGGAGGCACTGACCCCTGCGAGGCACTGGCCTTCTCAGCCTGAAACCTCTTCACCAGAAGTGCTGAGGCGACCGAGTCCTCCTTCATATCCTTCTGAACCCAAGGAAGAGCTCCCCTGAACAGGGTAGAGCCCTAGAAGGGGGCATTCAACAAGCGGAAACGGTAGGGTTACTGGACTGGGCGGATTTTCAGAACTGAAAACTGCCTAGCCAACACGGCATTGACGAGCAGAGAACCTGCAAGGCTGCCGTGTCCTGTATGTCGGCTTTCTGTCTTGGATAACCGACACTCAGGCAAATCGGATACCCTGTATAGACAAACTGTCAGGAAGTCTATGTATGACAGAACTTGGATGGAGAGGTGCAACATTCTCTCCATCCTGTGGTGCTCTTTGGGATCGAGCACCACCTGGTCCACTGATTTGCCGGGCCAGGCAGCCAGCTGTCTCAACTCCAGCTGTGCTGGTTGAGAGGCCAGCTGCCCATCATGTGTGGCATAGTCGGAAGCTGAAGCCTCCGACAATTCACCAACACTGAGCTGCAGACCGACAAACCCGGGAGCACGGGTAGAGAAGGAGTCCTTCTCTAAAACCGGAGCCCGGGCCGTGGCCAGAACTGAAGACATGATATTGCCTTCTGGCAGAGACCGATCTGAGCGAACGGAAGCCCGAGGAGCCACCAGGGAACCCAGAAGGATGGTGGATTCAGGCGCCGACGATGCTGAGGCGGTGGGCAAACCTCCGCCCTGAGAATCCGGGAGATGTTGGTCCGGAGGACCCGCATCCCAGAAAGCACATGCTGAGCCTCGGCTTCAGCAGTCTCAGGGCCATCTTCCCCTTGTGAACCCTCTTGGCCCAGGAGAAAGATGTATGACATCGTCTTCCTCTGCCGAGCCCGCACCCTCGATGTCCATCTCCTCCTCAATAGAGACCGAAGTCCCCTTGGGAGGAACAGGGGCCGCCAGAGGAGCCATCTCCGCAGAGGGGAACTCCTCTTTATGGCATTTGGACGCAGCGCGACCAACAGCCGTAGCTGTAGGCTTGGGTCGGAGACCCGAAGCCGACCCCTGGGAACAGGAGACCGATGGGTCCGCGCTGGAGGCGGAAGTCCTTAAGGTCTGGCAAACCTTTATAGGACCGGCCAACAAGGCCCCCGAAGTAGCAGAACATTGGGGGGATTTCGCACTGCTATAACATCTCCTAGAGGAGAGACCAACCCCTATGGGTTCCACGAGTGAAGACCCATGGGGTAAAAACCCAAACCCCTGAGGGAATGGGAACGGTCCAGCGGGCCGGGAGTGACCCCAGAACTGGCCAAGATGGCCTGCCTGAGTCTGGGGCTGGACACCCTGTCCAAAGGACCATGAACCGCCACTCCCACCAGGTGGAAACCCAGACATGTACGGGCTAAGCCCGTAACTGCTGAGTAACTGTTGGTACCCAAAACCATCCGCAGGTTGGCCTGGGCGACCCAGGAATAAGTGCCCGCAGGCACCCCTACTCCCTGAGCCCGGGGGAAAGGGAGACCGGAAACCGGACTCCTGGCCTGAAGCCCCAAACCCTTGGGGGAAAACCCCCTGGGAAACCCTGCACTGGGAAATCTGGATAGGGACGGAAAGTCCCAGAGCCAGAAGCCTGTGAGGGTGGGAAAACAGACCCCGCGCTGACACCAGGATTAGTGAACTCAAGTGTCACTAATCCCCGTAGCCACAGACAATCCTGACAAAAAGTCTGTGGCCCCTGACCCTATACCTGAAGGCACAGTTCCGGAGTCAAAGCGGCCCCCACCAACGACGCCACCTGGCGCGCCGAGGTCCCTGAAGGAATCAGCGACCTCGACCGGAAGTCCCTTTCCGACGATAACACCGCCGCCTATCGAGAGCTGCCGGCCAATTCGACCCTTGACTGCGCTGAGTCAGGGTCGGGCTGCCCCCCCCCCTACTCCAGGACGCACCTGGACAGGGGGAGCCACCCCCTGCTGAAGGGCGGAGCTCGGTGGAACGAGAGCACCCCCAGCAGGAACGCTCTGGTTCAGAACTTGAGGAGGGAGGTCTTAAAAAGCTTACTTCCCTTACCGGAAGAAGAGGACGAATCCCTCTTCCGGCGGAAAGTTAGCTGGAAAGGCATGGGAGCCTAAGCAGCAGACTCCATGTGCAAACAAAGTTCACATAGAGAGGTCTGGCTGCAATGTCGGCAAATGGGACAGGTATCATGGGGTTCCCATTATCTATAGAAATAGGAACATCCATGCTCTGACCCCCGACGTAAACCCGGCACCTTTATCCAGCATCGAAACAATAAAAAATTGTAACAATGAAAACAAGGATAAAAAGTTTTCTAACAATCAAAAAACTACGAACGAGATCATAAAACCTACCGTACGCAGCAAGATTGTACTGCAAAAAAAGAAAACGGTCGTACAAAACGGCCGACAAAGCAGCAAGAAAACAATTTCAACTTCACGAAAATCCGAGTGACGAGACAAGTAGTCACACACTCGAACACGCGGAGGAAAAACACGGCCGGAAACGAAGTTCTCGAACAATCAAAAAACTACGAACGAGAGCACAAAGCCTACCGTACGTAGCAAGATTGCACTGCATAAATAAAACGGCCGTACAACACGGCCGACAAAGCAGCAAGAAAAACAAATTCCAACTTCACGCAAATCCGATCAACGAGACAAGTAGTCACGCACTCGAATACGTGGAGGAAAAAACGGCCGGAAATACGGTCAAAATAAACAAATGACAATACTTAATTTCACAATATAAGTTGGGAGATGGGTTTATAGACTACTAATAGAGTAACAATATACTCAAACGACAATGGCAGTACGAAGAGAAGGAGTAAGAAAAGCACTTAGCTCAGATACCTCCGCACTCGTCGGCAGCCATAAAGGTAAGAGGAAGGGAGATCACTCTGCGTTCCTGCCGTGATGGCTCATGGATCGTAGGGAGGGCGGGATTGTTTTTTCTTTTGAATCTTTTGTTGTTGGGATACAAAGATGGGTGTAGGTACTGTATTTGCATACTAAAGTTATGGTAATTATTACTGAAATGAAATCAACAATTCAGAGGTAAAATTCGTCAGAATATTACTGACAATAAGAAGTAACTGCAAAACATTTGTGATGAAGCAGCATTAAGATAAACTTCTGTTTACAGAAAGTCATCCCAACTTGTTGTGGATGAAAATATGATTGAATATTTATATAATTTTACAAAACAAATCTACAAACTTACTATAATTGGTTTCTTCATTGGCGTTGTGGCAGCATGTTTATTACTAGCCATAATACCAACAGGTGTGTCCGCCTGGCAAACATAATATTTTCACAAAATGCTGATTTTGACATTACACAATGCAATACTGAAAAATATCATCAACACATGAAACGGATACAAATTATATTTTATAGAAATGTTTAACCGAGTAAATGAGCAACCCCATTCTGTGATTTCAAGTAAAGCTATCAATTTCTTTTACATTACATCTCGAATAGAGTACAAAAGCAAACAGTAACTTCCAATACAAAATAGATGTTGATATAGCAGAGTCAAACAATAAACAAACTGTTTCATACAGTTGTTTCATTCTTCTAGGTCCCGTCATTTATACTAAGGTCCTTAACTGTTGACAGCTTGGAGGTGGGGAAAGTCCGAATTAGTCAAACTAAATATCAAAAACAACATGTGGAGGTGCACCAATTACAAACTTCAATAAATTTTTCATTTTCAGTATTGAGTTATTTCACAGGAACGTCAAGTACTTGTACATATTTTGAATCATACCATTTTTCGTGTAAATTGGAAAAGCGGCATGATGATTATGGCAACCCTCTATGACTAAAGTCTGTTGCAACAGTCAAAGACATTGACATGGCATCCAAAAAGCAAAAATATTTTTGGGTGGTAAAAATCTAAATCATTTCATATGTATATACTTTATCATTCTAAACAATCAAAGCTGTGACAACAGTAAGTACGTACCGCGTAACTGACGGATGCATGGTGAAGGGTTGCGGCCTGCCGCTGGAGTGTTTGGCGAATGTAGCTCTCATCCTTCAGGGCATGCATACTGAGAAAAACCAAAATCAAACAGTGACTGGAACCTGCCAAGGCCAGGAAATGTAAACTATACTATAACTAATCAACGTTTTGTATTTGAGAACATATCCAAACTTTGCAATCCTTACACAAATGAAATTCTAAAAAAATGTCTGTAAACCTTGGGATGATTAGCTAAAACAACTTACCTCTGCTGAAGAATGGCAAATTTCTTTTCCCAAATTTTATGGACTTTTTCTATTTCTCCCTTGAGTCTATAAAATAGAAAGTACAGAGATAATAAATAACAATAACATCAGCATGTTTATGTTTACTTTTTCACAGAATTTGGAAAATAGGAGTCAATATTGCCTCCTGATAGTCCGCCACAGCATTTACAATGCTTAAATTTTTTCATGCAAATGTTCAAATTTGTACTATTTTGTCAACTTGCTCTGGTACTAGTGTTTGTCAACTAACAATGTATTAATTTTACAGAAGGATGCTGAGTGGACTAATATTACAGAAATGGAACTCATTTTGCATTTAAATATTTGAATATAAGGTTTTAATTGAAATCTGTTACATTAAGATAACAACATAACAATACACTACACATCACTAACTCTTTCAGTAAATGTCACCAAAGAAGCAAGAGTTGGATGGAAGGAAGGCAAAAGATCAATAAGTTGGAAAAATATATATGTAATAGTCAATGTACCTCATGATTTCATCTCTCAGCCTGTCCTCGTTCTTCTTAAATTTCTCGGTGTCAATTTCACTTTGGGATTTCTGATTGTTTTTCTTTTTTTCCTGTAAAAGGCAATACACCTTTACTGAAATAAAAGTGAAATATTTCCTTTTTGTTTCTATAACTTCAGTGTGATCTGCAAAAACTTTTTTCAATAAAAAATGTTTATACAAATACTGAAGAAAGAAACTGGTAACTATTTTGTTGTTTACTAATTTTTGCTTGTAGCAGACATTACTTTGAATAGTAACTCACATCCACTTTTTCAATGTCACCTCTGTCACAGTCACATGATGCCTCACTGTGAGGGACTTTTCTACTTGTATCTTACTCCAATGATAATTAAATGTTATCAGGCAGTGTCAACAGGAAACACTAGATGTATGAGTCATCAGAAAGAGAACATCACTAAATAAAAAGTAATCCTGATAAAAGTGTACTTCAGGTCCAGTCCATATCGGAACAAGTATACTGTGACTTGTTGGAACTAGTATACTGTGACTTGTTGGAACAAGTATACTGTGACTTGTTGGAACTAGTATACTGTGACTTGTTGGAACAAGTATACTGTGACTTGTTGGAACTAGTATACTGTGACTTGTTGGAACAAGTATACTGTGACTTGTTGGAACTAGTGTACTGTGACTTGTTGGAACTAGTGTACTGTGACTTGTTGGAACTAGTGTACTGTGACTTGTTGGAACTAGTATACTGTGACTTGTTGGAACTAGTATACTGTGACTTGTTGGAACTAGGTTACTGTACTTGTTGGAACTAGTGTACTGTACTTGTTGGAACTAGGTTACTGTACTTGTTGGAACTAGTGTACTGTACTTGTTGGAACTAGTGTACTGTACTTGTTGGAACTAGTGTACTGTACTTGTTGGAACTAGTGTACTGTAATTGTTGGAACTAGGTTACTGTACTTGTTGGAACTAGTGTACTGTACTTGTTGGAACTAGTGTACTGTACTTGTTGGAACTAGTGTACTGTACTTGTTGGAACTAGTGTACTGTAATTGTTGGAACTAGTGTACTGTACTTGTTGGAACTAGTGTACTGTACTTGTTGGAACTAGTGTACTGTACTTGTTGGAACTAGGTTACTGTACTTGTTGGAACTAGTGTACTGTAATTGTTGGAACTAGTATACTGTATTTGTGGCAATCTAAACTATGCAGCAATCTGAATCAGAATATTATTTTTGTGTTGAGTTGTTACACAAATCACACTGTTGAAAAGCAATATATAAAATGAGTGAGTTCCTAAAAACAACTAACATAAATTTCCAATGGTCATAACAGATTTGTCACTTCATTGTTTGGAATTACAAATACTTATTAAAGCCCACCTGGCACTGCAATTTCAAAGTGATGTTTCCCCTTTGACAAACATACCAAAGCAAAATTCATGATTCATTTACCTGTAGCAGCAATTCCTCCAGTCGTTTCTTCTGGTCTATCAGAACCTTAAGTTTATTCTGCTCAGCTGTCTGCAACTTGTTGGCCTCCTGTTGTGCTTGTTCCAAGGCCTTTTGATAGATAAAATAAATGCTTTGTAAAATTGTTAAAATTTTAAAACTTTTATTTCATTCCTAGATTGGTTAATGATTAAGATTTACTCACCTCCTCACGGGCTGCTTTCATCTTGTCCTCCATCAGCTTCTGCATCTCCTCCTTTTGTCTAGCCATCTGTACTCAAAAAGAGGGAAACCTTAAGTGCATAGATACATTCCATTTGGAGACAACCATACTCATTATACTCATCATCTTTAATTCTTTCTTCAATTAATCATATAAAATCAAATGAAAAATCAGATTAAAAATTAAGAATTAAATAAAAACTTAAAAATTGAATTAATTAAATTTTTATTGATACACATATTTCTTTAAACAGTATAGTATTATGATTGTGAGAGTGTTGAAAAGTTTAATCTGTATGGAACAGAAACAGAAGTGTCACATCAAATCATTTTGCGACTAATATATATTCTAATGCATTTTCAACTTAATTATTTCAATTGGTAAAGAGTAACACATGAAAAATTGCTTTACAAAACAGTACATTGCATTTTGCTCATAAAAAGCTATAAATACATCAGAGAGTTGGACATGTAAATGAATATATGCCAGGTGATAGTAATGAGTCAATATCATGGATAGTGTTCTGATTAATAAATAGAAAAATGAGAATAAAAGCAAGATGAAGTTGATAAAAGGTCATGCTTAGTCTGTTCTTCTAAGATCTTCCCAAAAATCTCCATTGTCTAACCATAACTTAACATCACAATTCATACATTTAACAACATAAAAGAGTAATAATTTATATTATAATAAAAGCAGGATTATCATTTGTAAGTGTAAAGGCAGGCAAAACAAATATATATGCATTAGTGTACACTGCAAAAAACGCAGAGTATAAAATGAAGTTATCCGGAAAGTCAAAGTGACAACATTAACTAAACTTTTATTCATAATAACTTTTGGATTAACAAGATTTTTTTAAACAATGCCATTGTGTAATGTCACTCTTATGATTCTTGGTCATCCACATTTAGAATTAAAATTACTGTGAACTGTTGATATATTCTCCGTATCAGATTTATTTTACGTAAACACCACCACCTAATGTTAAAAGCACACTCTATGGCCACACATTAGAAGCAAACTGTTTGTACTGACTGCCCTCATAGCAAACTATCATCATCAACAATCAAGAACATTTACTTCAATGAATTGAACAGTAAAATATCACCATGTAAATGTTTTGATTTTAAGTTATATCCAAGCTTACAGTGTCAATATATTTTAAATGAAGATAAAACTTATTTGAAATAACAGTGAATATTTTGATGACTATCTAATAGAAAGGCATTAGAAAGGAAAGTACATCATATATATAATGTCATGCTGGAATTATGGACAGGTGCAATTGATATTCACATGCAGATCATAATGAAACCCTGGTAAAGGCAGGTATGGTTTAAAATGCATTTTAATACCGTTAGTGCAGCATGTGTATCTCTCAATGTGTTGAATCTGGTATTCATCATTAGTTAAGATCTATCATTTGTTGATATTGACTTATGGTTAGTCGTACAGGAATTATGGCTGTTTGTCATACATTGTATAAAATTTCTTGGGAATGTCTTTGTGATAGCCATGCAAATTTGTCATTGTCTAGAATTTGTTACTTAATATTGATGGTGAGTGGGTTAGACAGGAGAGAAAAAATAACAATGAGAACTTACTCCTGAACCCTGGAAAGAAAAATCATTTAAATTTAAAGATAAAATAAAGACAAAACTGATCAACTTTAACCAATTGCTACCTTTTCTGTCAATTTTTTTTCAATGTATGAATGCCTTAGCATTAAGCCATTATGACACTGACAACAATATATAAACTAATTCAAGATGACAATGTTGACAATGGAAGAACTAAATGTTTAGCAGTCACTCTCAAATTTTCCAGTTATTCAATGAACACTAGATAATCCCTAAAATTAAAACATGTATACTGGAGTATGTAACTGAAATCACTCAGTAATGCCAGCACTGTTCTGAAATCATAAAAGTCTGAAGGAAAAAATCTTTGTGATGTTAGCAGCAATAAGACAAACACCACATTCTGATACAAATAAATCAATGATAACATAATGCTATGTATAACCAATCTTGTGAAATTAATATTTCATCGATAAATCTAGTTTCATTTCAGTAATAATTACCATAACTTTAGTATGCAAATATGGTACCTACACCCATCTTTGTATCCCAAAAACAAAAGATTCAAAAATCCCGCCCTCCCTACGACCATGAGCCTTCACGTCATGAACATAGAGTTATTTCCCTTCCTCTTATCTTTATGGCTACCGGAGCGGGCGGACGTGCTATATTCAGCTGAGTGCCTTCCTTTTCCTTTTAGCTTAAGTCTACCTTATAGCCGATTATTTATATATCGGTTTATTGCTTTAAACCCATCCTTAACTATAACAGTCTTTTGCAGACGTTTATTTAGTTAATATATCCTGCTTTTAGGCCTTAATCGGCCGGCCTTTGTTCGGCCTTTGTTCGGCCATTTTTGCTATACTCCACGCACCGAGCGCGTATCTACGTGTTTTGCGCTGTTCGGTTTTTTCGTGAAGTTTTTTCGCTTTTTATCGGTCGTATTATTTATTCGACCGTATATTTTGCTTTGCTTTTTTACGTTTCATTAGCTTTTGCTTTCGTTCGTATTTGTTTGTTGGAGTTGTGTTTTTTCACTCCATTTATTTTTGTTACGTTTAATTTGTATTAATAACTGTCGTTATTTGATTATTTATTTCGTAACAATTATGGATTCAGGGATGCGTCGTGGTTCAGCACATGGGTGTTCTCACTTCTACGGAGAGCAGGACCCCCATGATGCCTGTCCCTTATGCCGGCCTTGCAGCGAGGCCTCGCCGTGCGAACTTTGTTTGCACGCCGGGTCCGCTGTAAAGGTTCCCCTACCCAGTCGGCGAACTTCTCGCCGGAAGAGGGATTCGTCCTCATCTTCCGGTAAGAGAGGTAAGCCATCCAGGTTTTCTACCCCCGGCCCTGAGCCGAGGGGTGAGGTTGTCACTGCTGGGGGTATTCTCACACTGAGCTCCGCCCTCGAGCAGGGGGTGGCTCCCCCTGTCCAGGCGCGTCCTGGTATAGGGGGGGAGCAACCCGACCCTGACTCGGCGAAGTCTAGGGTCGAATCGGCCGGTAGCTCTCGACAGCCGGCGGTGCTACCGTCGGAAAGGGACTTCCAGTCACAGGTCTCTGAGTCTTTCAGGGACCTCGGCACGCCAGGTGGCGTCGTTGGTGGGGGCCGCCCTGACGCCGGACCGGTACCCTCGGGTATGGGGTCAGGGGTCACTGATTTTTTGTCAGGGTTGTCAGTGGCTACGGGGATTAGTGACACTGAGTTCACTAATCCTAGTGTCAGTGCGGGGCCTGGGTTCCTACCCTCACAGGTCTCTGGATCTGGGGCTTTTCGCTCTAGTCCAGATTTTCCGGTGCAAGGTTTCCCAGGGGGTTTCCCCCTGGGATTTGGGGCCCCAGGTCAGGCTTCCGGTTTCCGGTCGCCTTTTCCCCCGGGCTCGGGGTGTAGGGGTGCCTGCGGGCACTCAATCCCGGGCCGCCCAGGCCAACCTGCGGATGGTCATGGGTACCAACAGTTACCCAGCTGTTACGGGCTCGGCCCGTACATGGCTGGGTTTCCACCTGGTGGGAGTGGAGGTTCATCCTGGTCCTTTGGACAGGGTGTCCAGCCCCAGGCTCAGGCAGGCCAATTTGGTCAGTTCTGGGGTCACTCCCAGCCCGCGGGACTGTTCCCATTCCCTCAGGGGTTTGGGTTCAACCCCATGGGTCTTCCTTCATGGAACCCTTGGGGTATGGTCTCTCCCTCTAGGAGACGTTCTAGCAGTGCTGAATCCCCCCAACGCTCTGCTACTTTGGGGGCCGTTTTGGCCGGTCCTAAAAAGGTTCGCCGGACCTTTAGGACTTCCGCCTCCCGCGCGGACTCGTCGGTCTCCTGTCCTCAGGGGTTGGCTTCTAAGCCTACAGCTTCGGCTGTTAGACGTTCTACGTCTAAACGCCGTATAGAGGAGTCCCCCTCTCCGGAGAGGTCTCCTCTGGCGGCCCCAGTTCCTCCCAGGGCGACTTCGGTCGTTAGCGAGGAGGAGATGGACGCTGAGGGCGTGGGCTTGGCAGAGGATGACGATGTTATCCATCTGTCTCCTGGGTGCTCGGCGATTGATCCGTCCGAGTCATCAGCAGATGACCCTTCTGACCAGGAGGGTTCCCAGGAGGTAGGGGGCTCCGAGATTGCTGAAACCGAGGCTCAGCATGTTCTTTCGGGGATGAGGGCCCTACGGGCCGACATTTCTCGGATTCTCGGAGCGGAGGTATGCCCACCCCCTTCTGCATCGTCGGTGCCCGAGTCCACCACCCTTCTAGGTTCTTTGGTGGCTCCTCGGGCTTCCGTTCGTACTGACCGGACTCTGCCAGAAGGCACCATTGTGTCTTCGGCTCGGGCCACTGCCCAGGCACGGGTTCTGGAGAAGAATTCTTCATCTACCCGCACCCCCGGGTTTGCCGGTCTGCAGCTCGGTGTTGGCGATTTGTCAGAGGCTTCTACCGCTGACTACGCTACACATGACGGGCAACTGGCCCCTCAACCAGCAAAGCTGGAGTCGAGGGAGCTGGCTGCCTGGCCCGGCAAATCAGTGGACCAGGTGGTGTTCGATGCTAGAGAACACCACAGGATGGAGAGGATGTTGCGCCTTTCCATCCAAGTTCTGTCTTACATAGACTTCCTGACTGTGAGTATCCGACTTGCCTGAGGGTCGGGTACCAGAGACGGAACAGGCCGACATTCAGGACAGGCTTACAGCTGCCCTGAACGCGGCGTTGAGGGCATCGGCGGCCTTACAGGTCTCCCTGCTCGCCAATGTCGTGTTGGCTAGGCGATTTTCTATTTTAAAGAATCGCCCAGTCGAAGAACCTTATCTTTCCCGTCTATTGACTGCCCCCTTCACTGGCTCTACCCTGTTCGGGGGAGCTCTTCCTTCTGTCCAGAAGGATATGAAGGAGGACTCGGTCGCCTCAGCACTCTTGGTGAAGAGGTTTCGTTCCGAGAAGGCCAGCACCTCGCAGGGGTCAGCGCCTCCCAAGAAGAGGGCTAAGTTTTCGGCTGGGCAGGCGTCTGCCCAACCCAAATCGCAGCCACACTTCAAGGGCAATAAGGGGAAAGGTAAGAAAGGTAAGAAACCTCCTGGGGGCAAGAAGAAGGGCTCCTGACTCTTTCTTCTCCTTGACCGAGACAGAACAGGGGTCTGGCGGGGTGGACGGCGGTCCTCCCGTTCAGGTCTCTTGTCCTTCTCCCGCAGGCTCAGGCTCCGGATGGGCGGACGATTCTCTGTTTTGGCAGGGACTCGATCTGCCCCAGCCAGAGCTTCCTGTGGGCGGGCGTCTCTCCGCTTTACTATCCCAGTGGCAGGAAATTACGGAGGACGTGTGGACGTTGTCGGTGGTCAAGGAGGGTCTAGGTATTCCCCTTCTTCAGGATCCGCCTCTTACCGCCCAGCCGATCTTCTTTCCTCCTCCGGGGGATTTGGAGAAGGCTCGGGCGATCCAGGAGGAAGTAAGGACCTTGCTTGCCAAGGGCGCGGTAGAGGAGATTCCGATGTCGGAAATCACTCCCGGGTTCTACTCCCGAATGTTTCTCGTTCGGAAGAAGTCCGGAGAGTGGCGCCCGATCATAGATCTCAGTGCCTTCAACAGGCACGTAGATTCTCCTCACTTCAAGATGGAGACCCCACGGGGCATCATGGCCTCCGTGAGGGAAGGGATGTGGGCAACTTCAGTAGATCTGAAGGACGCCTATTTCCATATCCCCATCAAGAAGTCGGCACGGAAGTTCCTCCGTTTCACGTGCAACGGCAAGGTCTTCCAATTCCGGGCCATGCCCTTCGGGCTGACGACAGCTCTCTTGGTGTTCACCAAGCTGCTGCAGGTAGTCGTGGGATTCCTTCACTCTCGCGGATTAGACGTCCACATCTATTTCGACGACTCCCTCATGCTTCACAGGGTGAGGGAATCGTTAGTGAAGGATACCAGGCTGGTCCTGAAAGTCTTACTCAGAGTCGGCTTCATTCCTTCCAGAGAGAAGTCAGAGGTTTCCCCATCTCAGGACTTTGTCTTCCTGGGGAATCGTTTCGATACGGTTCTGGGCATAGCCCTACCACCGGTGGAGAAGTTCGAGAAGGCCAGGGCTCTAGCTCTGTCCTTCATCGAACGGTCGCAGGTCCAGGTACGTTGGTTCCTCAGTTTTCTGGGGTATCTCAACGCCCTGGCAGATGTGGTCCCCCTAGGGAGACTTCACATCAGACCTCTCCAGATGTTCCTCCTGTCCAACTGGGTTCCGTCATCCAGGAAGTGGGAGGCCTGGATAACTCTCACTCAGTCGGTCAGGGAGTTCGCTCGCTGGTGGACCATTCGGGAGAATGTTCTCCGCGGGGTTCCTCTGACCAAGCCTGTCCCCTCTATGACCCTGTTCACGGATGCTTCCATGACAGGATGGGGAGCTTACCTCGACGGCCATTGTCGCTCGGGGGAGTGGTCTGGGGATCAGCTCTCGGAGCACATCAACGTGCTCGAGATGAGGGCAGTTCTTTTGGCACTGCAATCCTTTCGGGGATTCCTGCAGTCCAAGGCGATTTGTGTGGCTACCGACAACTCTACAGTTG